CCTGTTAGGAAACGGTGGTGGGGCAGTGAGAGCTGAGCAAGGGGCCGTGGTTTCTCCTTGGCTGCCCCCTGCGAGGCACGGGGAAATACCATCCTCACCTCCCGAGGCAGGATCTGTGGCTGGTCCATCCCCCAGCAAAACCATCCCCGTGACTCCTGGTGTAACAGGGAGGTGCAGGTATTCAAGGTATTCAGTGCTGCTCTGGGCAGTAAAGCAGAAGGATACCAGTCCCTCTTCCCCCCACAGCCAGGTGTCCATTGCCCAACAGCATCACGGTGCTCTTGGAAACACTTCCTATGAAAGGCAGGTCCAGCTGAGCTCCAACACGGTGCATTCCACCACCCCACCCCTGCTCCAGGGCCGGGGGGGGTCACCCTGCTCCCTCCCTGCTTGGAGAACCAAACCCCTTGATCGAAAAAAAATAAGAAAAAAAAAAAAGAAAGAAGAAAATTAAGGGTTAAAAAAGAGACAAGGCAATGGGAGGACACGATTCCATCTCAGCCAGGAAGGGCAGTGGCACTTGTCACCATCCCTTGCCTTCATGGCAAACCCAGCTTCCCCATCCGACCTCATCCCGTCAGGATTTATGAACATGTGCAAGTCCACTTGTAGACCTCTGGCTAGCTTTATCCCTCCAAATTGTCTGAGAAGGAAATTCCTTGGTAAATGCTAATAATAAAGCATTTATAAAGTGCTCCGACGTACACATATCAACGACTAAGCCAATACATTGTTTGTTACAACCCTGTAGCCTGCAGTTTATAGCACAATTAGTTACAGGTTTTTATAGCATCTCTTTAGTATTTTGAAAAAAAAACCACAAAAAAAAAAGGTTATAAATATAATTGTTATATTCTATTGTACTTTATAGACAGAGGAAGTTATATTAGTAATAATAACTCTCACTGCTTCGTCAGCATTTCCCAGCTCCCAAGAAAACGAGGGCTACAAAAAGAGCCGCTTTCCCAAAAGCCCAGGAGGGGGTAGGTGGTGGTATCCTGGGTGGTGGTACCCCCGGTGCAGGCAGGGACTCTGAGGCAGGACGTGTCCAGGCACGCAGGAATCGGAGCACTCAGGAGCACAGCAGCAGCAACAAGCACCTCGTGCCTCACCCCTACTCACACCTGTAGTACAAAGTGTTCCCACTTCCCCAACACCACCCTGGTCCTGCTGAAAACAACCTGCTCCTGGGCCTGGGAGAGGTTGGGATGTCCCCACCACTGTCGCCAGGACAGTGCTGTGTTTCTGCCCCCGTGCGTGTGGAGGTGATGCCTGGGTTTGGCTCAGCCCCACCAAGGATGCTTCCCTTTCCTCCTCCTCCTCCTGCCCCGGTGAGCATCCCAGTTGCCTGGACTTGGCTTTCCTTTCCCTCCTGGACTTCTTGTCGGAGATTCCCAAGGTGTCTACACCGCCTATAATGCCCTGCACCCCCTTCTTTGAAATCGAATTAAAAATCAGGTCTGTCCCCCCTTGTTCTGTACCCGCCTCAGGAGTATTTTTGCAAGCAGGTTTTGCATCCCTGGAGCCCCAGGGCTCATCTTTACTGTCTCTGCAGGGGTGTGGGGCTGGCTTTGTCCCCTCTTGGGAGATGGGGATCCATGGCCCCCGTGGGGCTCCTGGAGGGACCTTTGTTGTGCCCACAGGGAGCAGCCTGGCAGCCGTGACTCCCCCATCAGGATCATCCTCTCTCCCTCCTCACCCACACAAAACCAAGTGTGGAAACAGAAGAGCTTTGGTCCATCTCTATTGCACAAACAGCATTGCTGGGTCCGTGGTGCAGGCTCAGGGTGTGGCCTCATGACCCTCAGGGACAGCCACCCCCCCCCGAGGTGACCACGACCCCTCTGGTTCTCCCACCTTCACCCACAAGGAAGCTCGTAAGGGTCAGCAAGGGGCCCTTCCAGTGACCCCCCAACCCAAGTGACTCAAACACTCATTAAGGCTCTTGGAGCTGTGAGACATGAGGCTCATTAGTCCCATGGTACAGACGGAGAAGTCTGAGGTTCGAGATGTTTTACACCTTTGGATGCCAGGGGTGGGGCGTCCCTGCTTTAGTGGGGGCTACACCCCTCTTCCCTGCAGAAAGCACCCCATGCTCTCAATTCGGGG